TGGGATCTTCCCGGACTGGGGCACGAACCCGTGTCCCCTGCATCGGCAGGCGGACTCTCAACCACTGCGCCACCAGGGAAGCCCTGTTTGTATTCTTTTTTTTTTTTTCATACGCGGGCCTCTCGCGATTCTTCATTGTAGTTTTGATTTTCATTGCCCTAATAATTGCAGGCTCAGCGCATCTTTTCATGTGTTTGATCGGCATCGCGGCACATGGGATCTTCCCGGACTGGGGCACGAACCCGTGTCCCCTGCATCGGCAGGCGGACTCTCAACCACTGCGCCACCAGGGAAGCCCTGTTGAGCATCTTTATGATCATTACCATAACTCTTTATGAGGTAGATTGCTTATCTATACTTCAGTTAGTTCTTCTTTGGGGGTTTTGTCTTATTCCTTCATTTGAAACATACTCATTTGTTTCCGCGTTCCACCTAATTCTCTGTGTTTATTTCTAAATATTAAGTAGGTCAGTTATGTTTCCCCATCTTAAATACGTGGCCTTGTGTATGAGACTTCCCATGGGGCCCAGCAGCACACTCCTCTCTGGTCACTTGAGCTATGTGCTCAGGTGGGCTCTTTTGTTGTGGCAGGGCTGGCTACTGTGGATGTGCTGGTAGGTGAAGCTGGCCCCTGACTTGGTTGGCTGCCGGGCCCTGCCTTGTGCTTGCTGGTGTTGGGGGGCTGGGGCCTGGTGTGGCTGGCTGCACAGCCTGGGGGGGTCCTGGGACTGCTGCCAGCCCGTTGGTGGGCAGGCAGGCCCCCGGCGCTAACAGACTAGAGGGAGGACTCCAAAATGGTGCTTGCCAGCCCCAGAGTCACTGTGGTAGAACAAGATCCCCAAAATGGCTGCTGCCAGCATCTATGTTCCCAGTTGCCTCCTTCCTCTCTGGGAGCCCCTCCAAGATCAGCAAGTGGGTATAACCCGTGTCCTTTCAAATTATTGCCTCTGTGCTGGGGCTCAGAGTGTGTGAGATTTTGCATGTGTCCTTTAAGAAGAGAGTCTGTTTCCTACAGCTCTTTAGCTCTTCCGTAGGCAAACCCTGCTGGCCTTCAAAGCCAGGCATTCTGGTGGCTCATCCTCCCAGTGCAGGAGACTGGGGCTGGGGATCCCGATGTGGGGTTTGGACTCCTTGCTCCTTGGGGAGAACCTCTACCATTGTGATTATCCTCCTGTTTGTGGGTCACCTTGCCTGGGGAGTGGGTACTGACTATACCCTGTCTCACTGTGGTTCCTTCTTTATCGCTTTAGTTGTGGGAAGTCTTTTCTACTAGTCTCCAGGTCATTCTCATAGACAGTTCTTCTGGAAACAGTCGTGACTTTGGTGTGCCCCTGGAAGGAGATCAGCTCAGGGTCTTCCCACTCTGCCATCTTGGCCACATACCTCAAGAAACATTTTTTTTATAGTATTTTGTGGTTTCTGAATTGTTTTCACGAACATTATGTTTCAGTGAGGTAGGTCTTATTATTTCTATTTTATACTAGTTGAGACTGGGGTCGGAGAGGCTCAGCAGCTATTTGAAAGGTTCTGGCTGAGCCCTGTAAGGGTGCTCCCTGACCAGCAGCAGCAGCATCACTCAGGGAAAGTGAGAAATGCGCGTTCTCAGCCCCCACACCCTAGACTTCCTGAATCAGAAACTCTGGGGTGGAGCCCAGCGATCTGTGTTTTAACAAGGCCTCCTGGTGATTCTGAAGCACACTCCAGGGTGAGAACCACACCTCAGTCTACCCAGGAATTTGTTAGGTTAAAAAAATAAACGAAAACAAAACAGTGATGTCCGTTTGGACCTTTCTCCAAAATCCTAACTCCTCACTTTGACTCTAGAGGCAGTTACTCTCATCATGAAAACAGAACTAATCACAGCTGCTGGGTGTTTTTAGATGAACCCATTTTGTCTTTTGTAGGTCACATTGCAGAGGAGAAGAGGGATAAAGAATCCTCTCTATTCAACAGGGATGTAAGTGATGAGCAGTTAACAACCATAAATAAAGGAATACTTCCAGAAGCAATCAGTCCAGGTAATAATCTATAGAGTGTGAGCTAAATAAGGTGCCTACATATGGATGACTTCAGAATGCAACTGTTTGCCTTTCACGGTGTTTTAATGGACTAGATGTCAGCACACCTTTAATTTACCCATGAAAGCATATGATCTACAGTTAAAAATATGCATTAAACTAACTCTAGGAATTTGGCACCCACCCTTTCAAAAATATGCTGCTTTTTTTTTTTTTTTTTTTTTTTTTTTTTTTGCGGTACGCAGGCCTCTCACCGTTGTGGCCTCTCCCATTGCGGAGCACAGGCTCCGGACGCTCAGGCTCAGCGGCCATGGCTCACGGGCCTAGCCGCTCCGCGGCATGTGGGATCTTCCTGGACCGGGGCACGAACCCGTGTCCCCTGCATCGGCAGGTGGACTCTCAACCACTGCGCTACCAGGGAAGTCCAAAGATGCTGCTTTGATGTTGTTTCTACAAGCCAGGGTCATCCATAACATGGGCATCATAATCACAGTCCTTGACATTACTGAGCACTGATGCTTTCTACCAAACAGGAGGGATTAAATGCCAAAGGTTAACCTAGTCCTTGATCTTCATCCTTGGATTACTTGAGGCTGGGCCCATTCAGAGTGAGTAGAAACTTGCCATCATGGCAACGTGCTGGTACCAAGTCCAGGACGCTCCCTCCATGTAGCTACCCACTAACAGAATTATACCTGGTTGTCACTTCCTAACTCTAAGAAATTAAATGCTGAATTATTCCAACAGAGCCCTTAAAGTTGCTTGATGCTGCTGCCTCTTGACATAGCATCGATGAAGGTGGGAAGTTGGACGTGCCCCAGTTTTCTCCCCATAACCCAAGAAGGCCCTTGGCCAGTATGTCCTGCCTGCATCACTAGGCTCCCCTCAGCAGCTCTCCACATCTGATTCCTATCATTGTACCTCTGTGCCCCATTTCCCTGATTCCTTTATCTTTTTGGGGTCACATTACAAATGGGGTAACAGAAGCTCTGAGTCCCCAGTGGCAGCTGACGACTCCTTCCTTTGAGATCTAGCTAAGATTGCCTTGTACAGTATTCCCAAGCCCACATGCAGTGGCATTCCAAATCTACCCTCAAGCTTTCTACAAGTCCCTAAAGGGTTGAAAAAGCTTGGGATCATCTTGGCATCATGTTTGCCTTATGTCTTGAAATTCCCCCAGACCTACACACCCGAGGCAGATAATGTATATGGCAGAATTACCTGGAGCTGGGGGTGGGGGAGGAGGGAGGAGGGACAGCAGAGAAGAGGTTGTATCACTGCCCTGTGAAAGCTTCAGACTGAATACTTGACTCCATTTTTGGTTTTTTTGAAGCATAGTTGATTTACAATATTGTGTTAGTTTCTGGTATACAGTAAAGTGATTCAGAATATACCTATACATATACACACACACAACACACACACACACACACACACACACACACACATACATATACATATATATTCTTTTTCAGATTCTTTTTCATTATGGTTTATTACAGGATATTGAATATAGTTCCCTGTGCTCTACAGTAGGACCTTGTTGTTTATCTGTTTTGTATATGGTAGTTTGTATCTGCTAATTCCAAAGTCCTGATTTTTCCCTTCCACCCCTTCCCCTTTGGTAACCATAAATGTGTTTTCTATGTGAGTCTGTTTCTGTTTTGTAAATAAGTTCATTTGCATCGTTGTTTTGGATTCCACATATAAGTGATATCATATATTTGTCCTGGTCTGACCTACTTCACTCAGTATGACAATCTCTAGGTCCATCTCTGTTGCTGCAAATGGCATTATTTCTCTCTTTTTTATGGCTGTTGACTCCATTTTTCTTTTTTTAGATTTATTTATGGCTGTGTTGGGTGATTCCATTTTTCTTAAAAGCCATTGTAGTGGGACTTTTCACCTCCTGTAGTGGCCCCGTCTCCTCCCTCCATCTTCACTCTACTCTATTCCTCTCCTCACCTCCTCCAAACTGGTTGCTTTGCTGTTTGCCAGCTCATACCCTCAGCATCTCACCTCCACCATCAAAGGTTAGGAATGTCTTTTCCTAAACACAGCCAGTTTATTCCCCAAGAGGACTTGTGGAACCAGCAGCTAAGATGCTAAGGTTTTCATTCTGGCTCCAAGCAGAACCAACCAGGTGTCCCTACAAAGGCGTACAGGGTCGTCGCTCTCTGTTTACTCGGCCGTGCGTCTTCTCATTTAGATGTTCCAAGCAGGAGTATGCCATGCGCACAGCTTCTGCACTTTCTGCAGAGGGACATCAGCATCGCCACTGTCTCGGTGGCAGGAATCCTCACGGCCACAGTGTCGCTGCTGCTGGCGTTGGTCACGTACATCAGGAAGAAACAGCCATTGTGAGTAGCTCTTAGTGCCTGCCTTCCTTCCAAGAACTCACAGATTTTTGTACCAACGTTGCCCCCAAATTTCCTCTGATTTAGGAGGGTTTAGGAGGACAGCGGGGACCTCTGAGCCTGGTTGTGCGTCAGCATCAGCTGACATGCCTCCTAGACGTGCAGATCACCCAGGCCATTGGTTTTCAGACACTGCCTTGTGGTTCTGATGCACAGCTGGGTTCGGGGTTTCCTGGTTTGGGCCATCCTTGCCTCTGAAGGCCACCAGAGGTGAGGCCGCACCTCTTCCCATACTGAGGACCACTGAAAGACGAGATGGTACAGCCTCTGGCTGGAAGATTGGAAAACAGGAATATGGATGTAGAAAAGAAAGGCAAAGTATAGCTCCAGGTGTGTGGGGACGGATGAGGCTGAGGAGGAGAGGAGAGGAGGCTGACATTCGGCTCGTTCACACTGCTACACCGCGCTGATGGTTAGAATATTGGAAGACGCCTCTGTTGGTTGGTAAACAGCCCCTTCCCAGGACCTCCCTACACTTCCCAGTCTTCCCCGTGACCCAGCAAGTGAAGGGTTAATGGCTGGTGCGGAGGGGCGGAGGGGTGCGGTGAGAGGGCCTCCAGGGCTCTGCTCCATCAGTGGCCATTTTCAATAGTCAGTGTATGTCTGTACCACTTGTTAAGTACTTCAACTATCCCCCTGATGAGAGGGCTCAAGCACAGTGGCTCTAACCAGGAGCAGGCACTAGAAAGCAAAGGGTTCACAAGATTATGCATTTGCAGTAATTGCACCTCGACATTATGTGCCTTGGTCTGTATCCCTTGGGACCCACATTTCTGATCACGGGGAAAAGCAGCTCTCCAAGGCCCCTCACGTCCTGCCCAGCACTGTGTTGGGTCCTCGGCCTGTCCACAGAGAAAGGAGGCCGTGGTGTGTGATGAGGGGTGAAGTGTCCACCCCCCATCGCATCCCTGCCAAACTCTGCAGTATTTAAATTTCCCCACAAGAGTTGCATTGCTTTCCCTAAGTGTCCTTGAAAATGCCAGGCTCCCGGGAGGGGTAACCCATTCCGGCCAGCCACCATCGCCTCCCACCCAGCTTTCTGGGAGAGCAGAGAGAGAGCAGTGGGTCCCCTGAAGCGAAAGGGGAATCCTGAATATGGCAGAAGTTAGAGAAGATTTAAAGCCCTCTTGGAAATAAGTTTGATCGGCTTCACGGTTCTGACTGGGGCTTATCCATCGGATTCACCACTTCCCTTCCGTGTCTCTCAGAGGTATCAAAAGAAGTGGTGAAGGGGAATTCCCTGGCAGTCCAGTGGTTAGGACTCTGCGCTCTCACTGCGGAGGGCCCGGGTTCGATCCCTGGTCAGGGAACTAAGATCCTGCAAGCTGCGTGGTGCAGCGGGGCGGGGTGAAGTGGTGAAGACTGGCTCCATCCCACAGAGATGAATCAAAGCTGTGGAGAGCCTGCGTTAGTTATGAGAACGTGGTGGGAAAGGATTTTCCCAGAGACTCTGTGGTGCCCCGAGGTTCACACACGACAAGCCTTCCTGATGGGAAGTACATAGAGTCCTCACCCCTCAGAAACATCAGCCTCTATTTCCCCCCACGGAGTAGCCGGTAGGAATTGCTACACATTTAGTTGTGCAGTACAGTTCCTGTGTGTTTTGTTTTAGATCTCCTCCAGCAAACATGACCTACAATATTTTTATAATGAATGGAAAGACTTGGTGGCAAAAGTCTCAAGAAAAGAAGACCAGAAAACATGGAGGAAAACAGGAACAGTTGAAGTTACATTCCCGTGTCTAAGCCAGGTGATGGGGCCAGCCAACCAGCACCCAAAGCCGTGATGCGAGGCGATTCTCCATCCGGACTCCGTGGAGAGGCAGTTGGATTTCTGGCTGTGAGGTGCACCCTGCAAAATGTTTACCTTTTCCTCTCAACTTTGAATGGACCAAGAAAATTTTGACCACAGAATGCTCATAATGGTAATGGCGTTAATGACTAGTACAGGAGACTTAGCACATTTCCCCAAAGACTGACCTGACACACAATGGATTCATTTATTAAAGCAGTGCTTCATTTTCTCAGCCGTTCACTGAACAGATATGAATTGAACACCCCATATACAGACAATATCAAAATACATGAGGCAACCAAAGATACTCGAATCAGCAGGCATGGCCCTCACAGGTTTCTGAGGACATGGCAGGCAGCTGGCTGAGGCCCTTTGGTAGTCGGTCTATGCCTCTCTGTCCCCATGGCCAAAGGGGCCAGGGGTCTGAGGGCTGGGGTCCAGAGGAGAAAGGTGAGAAGCGGGGGACTCAAGTTGGTGTTGCAGGCTCAAGAGAGCAGCCATTGCAGCTCAGGCAACTCTCGCCCCTACACTGGAAGGCAGGGTCCAGAGAGAAGGACGCTGCCCCGCCCCCCGCCCCCCCCCCCCCCCGGAAGGGAGGGTCCTGAGGCTGGGGGAGAATGTGTTCCGCCACACGTGCGGCCACAGCGGCCCCTCAGGTCCACGTGCTCCAGGTCTGATTCATGCCTTCTCGCCTCGACCTGAAGAGGATGCACACTGTCTTGTGGTGCCAGTCAGGGGATGCAGAAGGGGCAGTGGGGGAGCCCAGCCACGAGCACGCTGGCGGGGGCGTCTCAGCGGCACTAGGAAGGGCGAGGACGGGAGCGAGATCTGAGGTCAGAGATGCAAAGAAGGGGTGTGGCCTAAGCCAAGGGTCCGAATCAAGGGGTGGGGGGACCTGGCCGAAGACACCCGTGAGGGGCATGGCCTGAGGGCCCAAGCGAGGGCTTGACTTGAAGGGGTTTGGGGTGGGGCGTGTTAGCCGGGGAGGGAACAGGGCTCTAGGGAGGAGGTGGCCTCGCGAGGGCCGAGGGCACACCGTGCTGGACCTGCCAACAACGGGTAGACTGGAGCGCAGATGGAGAACCCGGGAGGGGTGTGTCAGGGAGGGCATGGTCCAGGGACCAGAGGCGTGGCCGGGACGTAAGGGCATGGCTGGTGTTCACCCCTCCCTGGGGGAGAATGTCCTATGGCGCAGGGATGTTGTTGGCTACTCTTGTTGTAGGAAACATCTGCGGTTTCCCCAGGGGTAGACCTCTTGCAGGCCAAGACGCCCGCCCAGGCTCGTACTCCCCCTGGCTGGAGAGGACCCAGGCCTCCTGCTAGCTGCCGGCCTCCACACTCCTTTCCTGGGTCTCAACAAGTCTCTTGGGTCACCTTCCCGGCTTCAGCCTGGGACCCATCCTCCACCTTAATAAGCTACACTTACTGAGACCCTGTTATGTGTGTAAACTCTAGATCCATATTGAAGTATAGTTAATTTACAATGTTATGTTAATTTCTGCTGTACAGCAAAGTCATTCAGTTATACATATGTATATTCTTTTCCATTATGGTTTATTATAGGATATTGAATATAGTTCTCTGTGCTCTACAGTAGAACCTTGTTGTTTATCCATTCTATATATAAAAGCTTACATCTGCTAACCCCAGCCTCCCACTGCATCCCTCCCCCAACCCCCTCCCCCTTGGCAACCACCAGACTGTTCTCTATGTCCATAATTCTATTTCTGTTTCATGGATATGATCACTTGTGTCATATTTTAGGTTCCACATATAAGTGACATCACATGGTATTTGTCTTTCTCTTTCTGACTTACTTCACTTAGTATGATAATCTCTAGGTCCATCCATGTTGCTGCAAATGGCATTATTTTGTTCTTTTTTATGGCTTAGCAGTATTCCATTGTATATATGTACCACATCTTCTTTATCCATTTATCTGTCTATGGACATTTAGGTTGTTTCCATGTCTTGGCTATTGTGAATAGTGCTGCTGTGAACATAGGGGTACATGTATCATTTTGAATTGTAGTTTTGTCTGGTTATATGCCCAGGAGTGGGATTACTAGATCATATGGTAATTCTATTTTTAGTTTTCTGAGGAACCTCCATACTGTTTTCCACAGTGGCTACACCAACTTACATTCCCACCAACAGTGTAGGAGGGTTCCCTTTACTCCACACCCATTCCAGAATTTGTTATTTGTAGACTTTTTCATGATGGCCATTCTGACTGGTGTGAGGTGGTACCTCATTATAGTTTTGATTTGCATTTCTCCAATAATCAGCAACGTTGAGCATCTTTTCATGTGCCTATTGGCCACCTGTATTTCTTGGAGAAATGTCTATTTAGGTCTTCTGCCTATTTTTTGATTGGATTGTTTGTTTTTTGTTGTTGTTGAGTTGTATGAGCTGCTTATATATTTTGGAAATTAAGCCCTTGTCGATCACATTGTTTGCAAATATTTTCTCCCATCCTGTAGGTTGTCTTTTCATTGTGTTTATGGTTTCCTTTGCTGTGCAAAAGCTTGTAAATTTGATTAGGTCCTATTTGTTCATTTTGTTTTTATTTCTATTGCTTTTGGAGACTGACCTAAGAAAACATTGGTATGATTTACGTCAGAGAATGTTTTGCCTAGCATTTCTAAAAAGCTAGTCTACCCCCAGATCCCACTTGTGACACCTCTTTCAAAGGTCTGTCTTATCCCAGCCCTGCCTTGGGCTTCCTCTCCACAGAGAGGCATTGTAATGTAACTGGATGAACCTTGGGCCGCTCTTGGGAGACCTCAACTCATCTCCCCTCTGTGGGCCTCAGTTTCCCCTTCTACAGGATGGGCAGCCTAAGGTTTGCCTTGCCTACATTGCAGAGCTGTAAAGGGCAAGTAACAGAGTCAACATGAAATGACTCGCATAAAATGCCCTGTCGCTGGGTAATAATGACTACATCTCTGTGAATCAGACACTAGGCCCAGCACTTTACATATATTAACCAATTTACAGAGAGTAAATCATTTCCCCCTTTGCTTTTAGGGATGGAAGATGTTTCTTCTGGAAAAAGAAAGAAAGAAAAGAAAGACTGAATTCAATGTAGTTCAGTGCCCACTGTATGTGCCACACCCACACCTCTATATTGCCCCTCCCCCCTCTTCCCATTGATAAACATTAGTTTGTTCTCTATATCTTTTGAACTGAAATTTTAATAGCTGCTCTATCTCCTTTGAGTTAACATAGCTCTAGCTTGGACATAGCCTGAGTACATTTGAATGGTGGCCCCTGAAAAGATAGTCCACATCCAAATCCCTAGACCCTGTTACCTTCTTTGGAAAAAGGGTCTTTACAGATGTTATTAAGGATCTTAAAATGAGATAATCTGGATCACCTGGCTGGGTCCTAAATCCAAGGACAAGTGTCATAAGAGACAGAAGAGGAATAGACACGCAGAGAAGACAGAGGTAGAGATTGGAGTCATGTGGGCACAGCTGAGGAAGCCAAGGATTGCTGACAGCCCCCAGAAGCTGGAAGAGGTAAAGTATTTCTCCCCTAGAGCCTCCAGACCTGCTGGGGCCCTGATGACGCCTTGATTTCAGACGTGTGGCCTCCAGAATGTGATGGTAAATTTTTGTTGTTTTAAACCACCCAGTTGGTGATAATTTATTGTGGCAGTCCGAGGAAACAAATACATGGCCATATGAACTGTCTCTGATACTTGAGTCTTGAGGGCACGTAGGATTCGGCTGGAGGGACGCTGGGGATTGAGGCGGTGAAGAGAGGGGGATTGTGTTTAGGGCATCAAGGGAAGTGCACAGTGGTGGGGCAGACCCTGTGGTTTGTGGCTGGCAGGTTTGCAGTTTCCTGGGGACAGCTGGTGGGGAGCCCTGGAACCCCGGGATCCCTGGGCCCGTCTCATGCTGGTCTGGGCAGTATCACTCAGCAGCCGCCCAGAAGCCCTCACCACCCGGGAGGGAGGGACCATGGAAGGAGGTGAGGGGAAGGCACTTCCTGAGAGCCTTCTGTAAAAACCCCCTGCCAGCCAGGCCTAGCGCCCAGGGGGTGGGGTTGGGGGTGGAGAGGAGAAGCATTGGGTGGGAGGGTGGGAGAGAATAAGGTGCGGGAGGGGGAAGGGGTGGAATAAGGTGGAGGGCAGGGATGAGAGAGGAAGGGGGGGGCTGACAAAATGTGTTGAGGAAGAGGAGGGCTCGGGAAGAATAAAGCAGGAGGGTGGGGAAGGGGAGAAAAAATAAAGAGGGGGGGCGGGTGGGGGAGGAAAAAGCAATAAGCGGGTGTAGGTGGGAGAGTAGAGAAATGGGGTGATGGAGGGGGAAGACTTGGATGGAGGAGGGGGTGGGAGCAAGGAGGGGGGAAGGAATAAATAAGGAGGGGGCTGGGGAAGAGGATGGGGAGACTTGGCGAATGTGGCAGAGGGGTGGGGGAGGGGCTCAAGAACAGTGTTACGTAGTGAGCGCTGGTCCCCACTCGAGCAGGCATTTAGTGGGCACCTCCCTGTGCCAGACACAGTGCCCTGGGGGCAGATACATCCCGACTCACACGCCCTCCCAGAGCTCTGCTGGGAGATAGCATGGCCCTGCCCTTGGCCTCTGTGATCTACCCCCTTCAGTCATGGGGTGGGCACGATCATTCCCATTTCATAGACAAGGAAACTGAGGCTAGAGAGGGGAAGAGCAAAAGTTCTGTGAAAGCAGGGCCCTGGTTACCCCAGGGGGGCAGCTGCCCCATAGGTCTCTGAGTGCCTGGCCAGCCATTTCCACCTGAGGTCCATCTGCTCCAGACTTCACCGCCACTGCATTTCCCAGGCATGCTCCCCGGGGAAGCTGGGCCCAGCTGGACCCCGATACTTCTCTGAGCCTCAGTTTCCTCATCTTGGCAACGGGGGTAAGAATTTACCTCCTTTACGGGGCTGTTGGGTGGTTCGTTCAGCAAACATTTTCTGAGCTCTCGCTGTGTGCCGGGCGCTGTGCGGGGCTGGGCGCTGCGGATGCCGAGGAGGGCACGTGGATCAGCCTCCCGACAGCAGGCTGCTGGTGTCCTCCCGAGCTTGGAAGGAGACGTGGCTGTCAGGGCTCGGGTATACAGCAGGCACACCATAAATACCAGATTCTTCCTTGAGCGCCCGACAGGTTGTACGCCTGTCCTCATTCCATCCTCATCCAGACCTCTCAGGACCCCAGACCTGAGAGGCAGGCCACCCTCCCACTGGCCTCCTACCCCTACCTCAGCTTCCATTTGAGAAACAAGTTGGGGTCATGTGCCTCTAGCCTCCACCAGCGGCCTCCCCAGCCCCGTGGGCCCACTGGGAGCCTGCCCTGAGCGGTCTCTCCCTCTTTCTCTATCAAAGAGGTGGTTTCCTTTGTGTTCCCAGTTTGCTCAGGGCTTCCACCTCCAGCTCAGTGGTTGGTCCAGCCAGCCTGGCCCTGGCGTGGTGAAGGGTGGCCACCACACAGCACAGGAGATTTCAGGGCTGAGCCTTGTGGAGGCTCTGGGCTCCCTTTGAGCCAGCAGACCTCAGGCTCTGCCATTTACTAGCTGTGAAATCTCAAGCTTCAGTTTGCTCTTGGCCTCAGTTTCTGTATCTGTAAAACGGGGCTAACCTGCTTCATGTGGCTGTTGTGAGCATTAAATGCACCTTAGCTGGGGTCAACACACAGGAGTGCTCAATATAAATGAATAAATAAATCTTAGCTGTTATGATTGTTCTGCAAAACTGTGACTTTTTACCTGTCCAGCATCCTTCCAGCCGTAGCCTCCAACTTCCCTTTGGGTTCTTCTCCCCGGTCTCAGTGTGGTGTGGATGGGCTTTGTGACTGGGTCCTAAGCCACTCTCACATCCAATCTGCTGGTTTCAGGGACTTGGTAAGGGATGGACATGTGATCCACTCAGCCAATGAGCTGTGATGGAGCTTTTGCTGGGAATACTGAGAAATAGATGTTTTCTCCTGAGTGGGATTTGAAGCTGAGTTGTTATCTTGGACCCCGGGGAGAAAAGTTATCTGAGAATAAAGTCAACAGATAGAGGAGGTAACAACCCTGAGGCCATCATTTGAGCCTTGAGTAAGTTGTTCCTGAAGCCCATACCTGAACTTTTCACCCATCATGCTATATTTGTTAAACTCCATTATGTGCCAACTGCGACTCTAGTTGCTGGGGATGCAGCCAGGAACAAGATAATTCCCACCTCACCGAGGTCCAGTCTTGCCCCAGGGCCTTTGCACCTGCTGATCCCTCTGCTTGAAATGCTGTTCCCCCAATATCTCCATGGCTCCCTCCTGTACCTCCTTCAAGTCTCGACTCACAGGTTATCCCCTCAGTGAGGCCTGCCCTGACCCCTCTGTTCAAATTCACACACCTATGAACCTCTTCTCCCCTTTCTTGATTTATTTCACTCCGTAGCACTTGGAGCCACCTGGTATACTCCGTGGAATACTTGATTATTTTGTTACTTCTCTGTCTCCCCCACTAGAATGTCAGCTCCACAAGAGAAGGGATTTTCACCTGTGTTGTTGACAGCAGCTCCACGGCGCCTAGAACAGGGTGTGGTATACAGTAGTTATGCAGTGTCGCATGAATAGGGAGCCGCCGAAGGCCCGTCTGAAGACATGACATTGTCATTGCGGCTCGGACGTTTAAGAAGAGCGGTCCATTTGATGACCCCCAGAGGAGGGCACAGCATATGGCTGCTATAGCAAATTGATTCTCTTCTGACTTAAGCCAGGTTGGATTAATTTTCTTTTTTTTTTTGGGGGGGGGTGTCCCTTGCAACCTTTAGAATCCTAAATTGCTCTTGGAAGGATGCTGTACTCAAAGCTACGCCCTGGAGGGCGCAAGGAAATCCTGTTCCTGCCCTTGGACGTGCAGTCAGTAGCACGCTATCGAAATTGGGGAAATGGAGAGATGATGGTGGTGGTGATAATGATGGCGATAATGGAGCATCTGCTTTAATGCTCATGAGGTGGGTACCATTATCATCCTCATTTCCTGAATGAGGAAACTAAGGCACAGAGAGGTCAAGTAACTTGCTCAAGGTCCCTCAGCTCTAAGTGGAAGAACCAGACAAGAACAGCAAGGAGGTAAATGTCACATTGTCTGACCACCCAGAGGAAAGGCGGGCGCTGCACGGCTGAAGACACCCAGGTGGGAGGGCATTCAGTAGGGGCCCTGGGGGCATCACTGTGCTGAGAGGTGAGTCTTCTCTGGCAGCCTGAAACCTCCACCCCAGGGCCCACCTGCCGGGTGTTACCCCTGCAGTGGCCTGGCGTCTTTTTGGCTGTGAAACCAAATCTGGCCGGCTCAAGGGCAGGTGAAACCAGCACAGAGTCCCACCCCACCCAGTCTGAGGATGGGGAAGGCTTCCTGGAGGAAGCTGCATTTAATCAGAGACCTGGAGGAGAAGGAAGAGTCAAATGGAGGAGAAGAGGTGGGGAAAGAGAGTTCAGGCGGGGACCAGCTGGGCAAGGGCGCGGGGTGGGGGTGGGTGTGAGTGATCAAATTCTTCTGAGGCTCTTTGCATGTCTAGAGTGAATATTTACCCAGACCCACGCTGGGCAAACGCACCTCAACTTTTCCAGCCCACTGTTCCATCCGCTCTTTCGTCTGCACATTCAAAAGACGCATCCACCACCCTCCACTTTGGCAAAACACATGGCGTTATCTGTAGGCCAATCTCAGAACTGTCTGAGCACCCAGCTGGCCTGGGCCCCTCAGGACGTGGTCTCTGAGATGGAAGTGGGTTAGAGGGTTGCTGAGCCAGTGCCTTGCAGAGGCTGGGAGCCCCTTTCTCAGGCCTGAAGACCCCAGAGACAGCAAGCCCCAAATGCTGCTGCCCCTCGGGCACCCCACAGGCAGCCTGCTCAGCTTCCAGCTCTCTGGGAGGCCGGCCCCACAGGGAGCTATTTTGCAATCAAGCTTTCCTCCTCCCATGTCCACCATGGCCTGGGCTATGGGGCCAGACTGCCCTGCTCCCATCATGCCTGGCCACTTGGAGTTGGTTGTTTAACCTCTCTGGGCTTCACTTACCTTATCTGGAAAATGGATTCAGTGGGTTAAACTGTAAACCACTTACAACATTGTGTGGCACGTAGTAAGTGCTCAGTAAGTGCTGCTATTATAATTGTAGATTATGTGGTTCTGATGCTGTGATTTCTCTCCTCTTCAGTATGCTGGGGCATTCTTCTCTCATTACTCCAGGAAAGGAGCATCCAGTATGGAAACAAAGATTTTATTCTGCATCCTGAATTTCACGATGCCTGTGGGGAAAGGGAGCTCTTCTAACGAAAACAGTTTTGGGAGAAATCTATGTAGGGGGAAAGTACCCAGCCTGAAGCTTAGAAAAAAGATTTCCTGAGCAGGAGGGGGGATTTAGGGAACTGGGGGGTAGTAGAGGCTGGGGGAGAGGGTCCCAGGAAAGGAGCCCTGGGGTAAAGCATGAAGGAAATGCCAGGCCAGTTGGGGAGCTGAACCCACTTCCCCCAGGGCGCAGGTGCAAGAGAAGAAAGATTTTTTTGGTCTCAACGGTGGGCCTAGGACAGCCCATGTAGGTCCCCAAGGCCCCACGGGTGACGAGCCACTGAAGAGGTGCGAGAGCCCCCAAGGCCTCAGGACAGTGGGGGTAGATGGGGCAGAGTGGATTCCAGGACAGGCCCGGCCTTGCAGCCCGACAGCTCCGTGGGCCGCCGAGGGAGCAGATGTGAGATGTGGTCAAGTGGTCAGAGGGTGGGTGGGTGAGGAGGAGAAGAGGCTGAAGAAGAGGTTGTGAGCAGCGCAGGAGGTGGTCAGGTGCAGTGCACGGGGCTGGGCTGGGATCGGGTGCGTGCTGGGGGACACACCATCTCCGCGTCTTGACGACATGACCGATCCTTCTTAGAAGCCATCGCTGACACCCCCAGGCTGCGTCGGGCTCCTCTGTGTATACACAGTGTCCAGGCTTCTGCCTTCCCAGCCCTGGTCTCCCTGGTGACCCAGCTGGCCCCTCGCCTAGACTGTGAACCATCTGAGGGCAGGGACAGGGCTGTCGTTGTTGACCTGATGGCTGGCACACAGGAGGTGCTCTGACCTTTGCGGTGTGGACCTACTTGGGAGGTTTATCGTCTCTCCGGCTTTAACCTGTCTGTGGAATAAATAAATCACTCATATGAGCAATTCAGCCAGGGACAGGCCCCGGGTCCATGTCCCCTTGGGAAGGGAAAGTGGGGGCATTCCCGTTTCCAATGAGTCCTGGGGATCCCCCTCCCACTGCCACTACCCCACCCCCATTCCAGCACACAGCTCCCCTCCCTTACCCTCTCCAGGTTTGGGGGATGCTGTTGGGATCATCATTCTAGCATAACCCCTGCCTGCAGCTCGCCTCATTTCCCCCACTGCTGGGCAGGCTCTGCTTGGCCCCGGAAGTGCCCTCTGCCCTCCCTGGAGCACATGGCTTGCGATTTTCCTTGAACACAGCACTTTGTGACTTTGACGTAAACTTCAAACACAGCCCCCTTTCCTGTCTTCGCATCAAGGAAACAGGCTGAGTTTCAGAGAAAGGCGCTTCCAAGAGCACATCAGGCCTTCCGGGCCAGTCCCTGCCTAGCTTGGCTGCCGTGCTCCACTGGGGTGTCCAGGTGAGTGGCTGGCCTCCAGCCTTCTGCCTCTTTCTTGCCAGCACGGCCACCGCAGGGGCTTCCGGGGCAGCCAGCAGAGGGTGACTCAGATTCCCCACCCCCTCCACCCCGAGTGAGAAACCCTGGTGGGGTATGACCTCCTTACCCCTTGCCAGGGTGTATGAGTGGGTGGTTAGCCGGTGGTGGCTTCAGGCTGGGGGCTCGGGCTGCAGATAAGCCCAAGTTAGTTTCTCGGACCCCAGTTCTTCATCTAGAACCAGCTGTCTGTCGGCTTTGGGAGCAGAGACCTTGCAGGTGGCCTGTGCCTCCACACCCGTCAGCACATCCCCAGGTAAGTCATCCCAGATGGGGCAGCACCCAGCTGCCATCTCCAGGGGTGGCCTGGGTCTGGTGAAGGAGGACAGAGTCAGGAGGACACTGTGGTACCAGAAGGGCTGTAGGACCGAGGTGGGTGACACCCAGCTGGGAAAGGAAGCAGACACGACCTGTGGCCACCCTGAGGGAAGGAGGTCTCACTCCAGCGGGCCCGCCGAGTGGTAGTGGATGCCTATATCCAGGGACCACAGAGGTGCCTGCTCAGTCCCTAGCCTCCTGCAGGGCCCCATCAGTGCAGCAACCTTGACTTCAGGAAGCAGAGAAAACTCCAGAGAAAGCAAACGTGTGCTCTGTCCCCCAGGGCCGTGAATATGAGGGTGGCTCAACAGGGCTGTGAACTTGAACATCAAAATGCCGGATGATTCCCATGAGGGGACCCAGGACAGGCTCCAGCCATTTGTAGGGGAGCTCAGGTTAAAGGGGAAACAGAGATGTGAAGAAGGAAACAGCTCGAATCCTGCTCAACCGCTGTGTGTCCTTGGCAAGTTGCTTGGCCTCTCTGAACCTCACTTTGCCCATTTGTTAAATGCAGATGCAAATGTTGGCAACTAGTAGGTGCTTGGCTCCTGACTGTTGGGTGAGAGGTTGGGAAAGGTGTCCCAAGCAGGAAAGGGTCTTGGCAGGAAGGAACAGGGGTTCATGTGGTGAACGGCTCAAGATGAGCTTTGTCACTCTTGTCTTAGCCACGGCAGCAAGCTCACAGTAGGTGCTTAATAAAGCTTTGCTGAGAGATTAGGGTCGGGGACTCCTGTGCTGGAAGGTCCTTGGGTATCACCTGCGAGGGCTCTTCCCCTGCCAGTGCAGAGCTGCTTTTTCCTGTTGTCGCCTGTCCTCCAGCCTTGCCACACAGCCCTGGCAGGGACGCTGGGCAGGCAGGCGGCCCAGCTGGATGGTGTTTCGTGTACACCCTGGAGCCAGGAGGCCGATTTGAGGCCTGGCTCTGCCACCTACTGTGTGTGCCGTGTGACCTTGGGCAATTTCCTCCTTCTCTGTGTCGTCAGGTGCCAAGTCCACAAATCCTCTACACACAGCATTCTCTCGAGGATTAGGCGAGTGAATTTCTCTAGAGTGCCTGGCACACAATAGTGCTGTATAAGCATATTGCTAAAGTCCTAATTATGATCACTAGCTCTGGGCGGCCTCATAGCTCCTGGAGACTCTCCTGGGGGCTGCAGCAACCAGACCTCTCCATGCTGGCTGCTCCCCGCCGCACCCCAAAGCATAGCGTTAAGGAAGTGCTTCTTAACTGGAGCCAGTTTTGCCTCCCCCATGCCTGCTGGGGACATTCAGTGCCATCTGGAGACATTTTTGCTTGTGACACAGGGGGTGTTACTGGTCTCTAGTAAGACAGAGGCCAGGGATGCTGCTAAACACCCTACAATGCACGGACAGCACCATGCGGTCCCCACTGTCAGGCTCTGTCCTCCTGCCTCATCCCACCTTTTCTGTCCCCTAAGTCTTTTCCCATCTCCTTTTACACAGAGCCTGGCACCCAGAGAGGGATAGCTCCTTGCAGAGGTTACACAACCCTTAGAACGCCAGCAGCAGAGGTTGAAATCGCTGGGGAGTGGTGGCAGTGGGGACTGATCTCGTGGCATTATTCAGTCAGTTGGTCAACAGATAGAGTCTGTTTGAGGCCTGAGGACCTGCTTCCAGCCCCCAACAGGCCAGCACTCTTTGCCCTGACAGTTGAAGGCAGCTCAAAGTGCAGCGACACCTGGGCCAGGCGGGCGTGGGAGCCCCTGGGGACCCAGGTCAGAGCCGTGGATTGCATTCTCCTAATGGCCACGCACTAGAGTGGCTAGTGCTGGCTGCTGGTCAGAGAGACCTGAGTTCAAATCCTGACTGCCACTCACAGGCTACATGATTCTGAACATGACATTAACCTCTCTGAGCCTCAGTTTCTTTAGCTGAGGAATGGGGATAACAGTTCCCATTTGATGGAATTGCGGTGAGGATTAGATTAAATGGATAATGCTCAGAAGAGGTGTCGTAAAGTCTTCGGTACAGAGGCTATTGTTATTGTTGCCCGCTTGACAAACATTTGTCGGGAGGAAGCAGGGGCTATCATGAAAACAAGACAGGCATAGGCTCTGCCTTGGGGAGCTCATGCTGGTCAGAGACGGTGGAGCAAACAGACTGATCATACGTGGCCACCAGGGCTGTGATGCGGGAGGACGGGGCCCTGGGAGAACAGAGGAGGTGCCTGACTCAGCTGGGGAGGGAGGGGGGAAATCATGGAACACTTCTGGGTGGAAGGGACAGCTGAGGGTGGCCTGGAGAAGGGTGTGGGCGCTGTTCCAGGCAGAGGGAAGAGCCTGTGCGGAATCTCCTCCGATTGGTCCGATTGGTCCTCTCCTCTCCCACCACAGGTTAGTGGAGGAAGCCGCTAGGTCCTCCGTTCACTATTCTGTCCTAGGGAGGACCCCACAGCCCCTCATCCCTCATCAGGCTGCCAAATTCCAAGGACCTGCAGAGGGGTCTCCACCCACCACAGTGGGCTGCATACCTTCCCAGGTACCCCAGTATCAGTAGCCTCTGCCCACCACGAACATTTATGGGGCACCTACGATGTGCCTGGCTGGTATAGGCAGGGGAAGGAGACCATGTCCACTCTCACCGTGCTTACATTCTAGCAGGGGACAAAGATCCTGTGGCAACAAGTTGACAGTACATCACATTTTCAGTGGTGAAGAGCAGTAACGCTGGGTCAGGGATAGAGAGAGAAGGGGAGGCGATTTTAGAGAGGGAGGTCAGGGAAGACCTCTTGGAGGAGGAGGTGACATTTACACAGAGACCCGAATGAAGTGAGGGGGGTTGGGGGAAGTGTGTTCAGGCAAAGGGAACAGCCAGTGCAAAGGCCCTGAGGTTGGACCAGGCCTGATTTGTTCCAGTGCTCTGAACAAGTAACATAAGGAGGCCCGTGTGGCTGGTGGGGAGTAACTGAAGGCCAGGAGGTGATGGGGCAGATTGGGCAAGGCCGCTGTAAGAACCTGGGCTTTAACCTTGAGTGACGTGGGAGTCCTGGAGGGCTGCGAGCAGAAAAGGACGGGCCAGGACAAGGGCGGGCCAGGCCCCATGCTCAGTGCTTGGTGAGCCTTCTCTCACGGAATCCCCGCAGCCCCGCAGCGCTGGGCACCTTCACTGGCGCTGTGTTCCAGGTGGGTCTGGCGAGCATGACTCCCCGCCCAGGACCACACTGCTACTACCCAGTAGATCCATGATTCCATGATCAGATCTGATGCCCTGGTGTCAGGGGAAAGATAAGGAGCCTGTTGCCATCCAGGGCACTGTGCTAACTGCTGTCTCTGTGACTTGGAACGTAACCAAGATGGCATTTTGCATTTTGTTAGCTGACAAATGTCTGTGCTGCCTCTGTTGGTGGCTTGCGGACTGGGGAGCAGGAAGGGTGGCTTTAGGGGGGACTTGGGGTCTTGAGAGGAGGCATGGGCAGTGAGGGGCTGCACCCCCATTCTTTGGGTGGGGACACTTGTTGTCTGGCTGTGGGTGGCACCTGGGGCCTCCAGACCTGCCAAGTCCAGTGGGATCATCTCATTCTGTCGGCAGCCTGACTGCCTCAGTCTTCCCTCTGGTGTCTCATGGTAGACATTTAACTGGGGCTTTGGATACTGAGTCTGTTCTGTGGAACAGCAGCAGTTCCAGGCCCTGCTACTTAGGTGTGAGGATTAAACAAAGCTAAAAAGCGTCGTCCTTTCCTGGCAGGTCTTCTCAGAGCCTTTAATATGCAAATATGCTTTCCACAGCTTTTGTAAACGTAGTTGATCTCTTGACCGTATTTCCTTCAAAGTATGTTTGGGGCATCCTGTGTGTCTGGAACAGGTATAATTTAACCCTGCCTGTCCCCAAAAAGGATGCTTGAAGGGTGGGATTTCAGGCAGATCCCTCTAGCCAAGGATCAAACTTTCCTCCCCTTTCCCCAGGACCTGGGCTGTGAGAACGAGGCTGGGGTCCCGCGGTCTCTCTGTGGAGCTGCAAACCATGGGAAGGCCAAATGAGCATCTCTGAACTCACGAGGACCTCGCAAGCTCAAGGGGAGGATGGAGGGGGTCAGCCCAGGCAGGAGCGGGGTGGGGAAGTCTCATGGTGGGCATGTCTCTGAGGAAAGCCGTGCAGCCTGCAGGGACATGGCTCAGGACGGAAACATCTGATCCTCCAGGAGGCTGCAGACCGGCCAGGCTCCTCTGAAAGCTGTTGTTATTACTGTTGTCGTTGTTATTGGCAAAGGGACAGGGAAGTGGGGATAAAGCTGAGAATGCACGGGGAAGGCTTCTGCCTCTGGGACACCTTGGACTCAGGTCCGAGATGGCCAATCATGGCTTCTGGCCCTGGACTGGGTCTCAAGAGGCAGCCTCTCCCCACTCCCGCTTCTGCACTAATCCGCCTCCGGCTACCCAGGCTGCACCTGTGGCCACCACAGGGTGGAGCTTCTCAAACTGTGTTGTTGACAGTTTCCTGCCACAGCTTCCTGCCCCAGAGACCAGCTTCACTACCCCCACCCCTCCCCATGGTCCCTGGACAAACCCTCTCTTCGCTGCCTTGCCTTAGGTCCTGATACCCTGTGGGGAGCAGGGCTGTGAGTCTGCCAGGCAGGGCTGGCTGGACTGGGGGAGTGGAGAGAAGTGGGGAGGGTATATCCGGTGGAGCACACTGCACGGAAGTGCATTTGAAGGAATGCTCATAGTGCAGCCTGGCTGGAGCAGAGGGAGGGCCGAGGAATTTAGTCTGATTCAATGATGTAGGCAGGAGGGAGCCACAGTAGGTTCTTGAGCAACGGAGGCCTTGGGGAAGAATCGCCTAAAAGCAACTTGCAGATCCCGGAGCTTCAGCTCATGTGGGAAACAGACTGTGGGGTTCAGCCGACCACAGTCACCGTGTGAGTTCGATCTGGATCTCAGGTTTTATTAATAGACACAGCAGGTGGAGATCAAAGGAGGTGATGGCAGCACAAACCGACCTCAGGGGAGAGATCTGGATGAGACAAGTGGGAGTGGCAGCATGGGTAGCCACAGACAGGATGGCCCAAGTAGGGGACGGGGGTTGGAGAAGGAGAGAGAGCAGGAACCGTCAGAGAGGAAGGCGGCAAGCCAGGGGGTTGGCGAAGGACCCAAGAGTGTGTGTGTGGGGGTCACAGTGTCCATCACGCAGGGGACCCAGCCTGGAAGAGGGCACGAAGTTCTTGCCTGGTGCCCATCAGGTGCTGATATCTTGCTCCCTGCAGCTGGAGAGCAGCCTGGTGGAGGTGAGGGGAGCAGACTGTGAGGCTGGATGAGACAGAGGGAATCAAGGAAGTGAGGCAGGAGTGTAGACAGCTCTCTCTTTCCTATTTCAGTTGATATTTGTAGTGCCTGGTGTGTCTATACCTTCCAGCTCCCTTTCTCCCCTTTTAATTAAAAAAAAAATTAAGGTATCATTTACATACAGTAAAATTCACCCCTTTTAGTGAAAAATTCTGTGAGATTTGACACATGCATACAGCTGAGAAACTGCGATCTCAGTCAAGGTATAGGCTATTGCCCTGGATTCCCTCATACCCCTTTGCAGTCCATCCACATCCCATCACCCCTGCTCCCCACTGGGCCTGCTGCCTCTGGCAGCCACTGCATGGCCCTGCAGTTTTTTGTTTCGTTTTGTTTTTATTCCTTTTATGTTATTTATTTATGTATACAGCAGGTTCTTATTAGTTATCTATTGTATACATATTAGTGTATACATGTCAATCCCAATCTCCCAGTTCATCCCACCAGCACTGCCCCCTCCCTCGCTTTTCCCCCTTGGTGTCCATACGTTTGTTCTCTACATCTGTGTCTCAGTTTTTGCCCTGCAAACTGGTTCATCTGTACCATTTTTCTAGATTCCACATATATGTGTTAATATACGGTATTTGCTTTTCTCTTTCTGACTTACTTCACTCCGTATGACAGTCTCTAGGTCCGTCCACATCTCTACAGATGACCCAATTTTTTTCCTTTTTATGGCTGAGTAATATTCCATTGCATCTTCTTTATCCATTTGTCTGTCGATGGGCATTTAGGTTGCTTCCATGACCTGGCTATAGTAAATAGTGCTGCAATGAACATTGGGGTGCATGTGTCTTTTTGAATTGTGGTTTTCTCTGGGTATACGCCCAGGAGTGGGATTGCTGGGTCATATGGTAGTTCTGTTTTTCATTTTTTAAAGGACCCTCCATACTGTTCTCCATAGTGGCTGTATCAATTTACATTCCCACCAACAGTGCAAGAGGGTTCCCTTTTCTTCACACCCTGTTATACAGTTTTGAATGGAATCATATGGTTTGTAGCCTTCTGAGTCTGGCCCCTTTCACTTAACCTGACGCCTTTGAGATTCATTCATGTGTGTATCAGCATTTCCTTCCATTTCAGGCTGAGTAGTATCCCACTGCAGGGATATACCACACTTTATCTATTCATCTGTTGGGAAACATTTGAGTTGTTCCTACATTTTGGCAGTCGTGAATAGAGCTGCTATAAACATTCCTGTGCAGGTGTTTGTGTGAACGTAAGTTTCCATTTCTCTAGGATGAACGCCTAGGAGCCCTTCTGACTCTTTTAAAACATTCTTCTGGGATGGTGACCTGCATCTCCAGGTCCCCGATTAATCACCTGCCTGTAACTATCGGGACGTCCAAGACCCCCACAGCCCTGGCTCTCCCAACCCCAGCGTTAGACGCTATCTGGTTAGAACGCAGATTCCGGCCCCTCCTCCAGCTGCGCCGATTCAGACCTCACCTGATTCCCGCTCTAGTATCTTCCTCTTGGCTCCAGTGCCCATCCTTGCATGTTCCTGAACGCCCAGGGAAAGGCAGCCTTTCTCAATCCACAAAAGCTTGCTTTGCACCCCCTGCTTACAATTGCTTAAGTGAGAAGGGTACCCAAGGAGCCTTCCTTGAATGCAAAACTATGCCTGGGTGGCCTTAAGTGGGCCCATCTCAGTAGAGAAACGACCAGAAACTGTTAAGGGGAAATAATTTTTTTCAACATTATCTAAAAACTTACAAATATACAGAAAACAGGAACAATTAGTTGTACAAATTATCCACCCCCTCGATTCTACAATGGACATTTTGCTATATTTGCTTTATCACATACGGTTAATCCTCATTAGTATTGGATTCCATATCTGCCAGTTCGCCTACTTGCTAAAATTTCTTTGTAACCACCAAAACCAATGCTCGCTGCGCTTTCACGGTCATTGGAGGGCGTGTGCAGAGTGGTGTGAAATTTGAGTCAACCGATGTGCTGGTTCTTTGAGGTTGAGCAAGGGGATGCTTTGCCTTCTCGATTCAGCTCATACTGTAAATAAGTCTCTTTCTCACAGTCTATTTAGTGCCACATTTTTGTGCTTTACGTCGGTGATTTCACTGTTTAAATGGCCCCCAAGGACAGTGCTGAGGTGCTGTCTAGTGTTCCTAAGTGCAAGAAGGCTGGGCTGTGCCTCACAGAAAACGTATGTGTTGGGTAAGCTTATAGTTACAGGGCTGCTGGTCAAGAGCTCAATGTTAATGAATCAACAATATAATTATGTAAGTTGTCTTTAAACAGAAGTACATAAAACAAGGTTATGTACTGATCGGTTGATGAAAATATTGTGACCAGAGGCTTCAAGGAACCTGACACTGGATTTCTTCTAGAAGCAATGGCTCAGTACTTCCTAATTCAATACTTTATAGAAATACTGCGAATAGCAAGACTCAACTTTATCAATCTGCTTATCCATCCATCCATCAACATTATTTTTTGGATGCCTTTCAAAGTAAATTACAGCCATCACTACCCATCACACCTAGATATTTCTGCACGCAGATCACTGACCAGGGTTCAATATTTTATGGTTCCTTTTTTACTGAGGGGCCCAAATACAATAAAATGAACAACTCAAGTTGGTACATTTTCTGAATTTCTTTTTTCATTTTCACATTAATTTAATTTTACGTTCTCTCTGAATTTTGAGCAATTCAGACACGTGTGTAACACAGCGCTTCTCAAGATATTGGACATCACCATCACCCTAGAAAGTTGAAGGTGGATAATTTCAGGTTAGATATCTTCCTCACCAGTTATCTATTTATATGTTCTTACTTCCTCCTCCCCATATAGGGTCATACTTTCCAAACCTCATTTTGTTTAATGACTGTATCGCAGTTCACATTGGAGTTAAATCCTAATGTATTTAACCAATCCCCTATTAATGGATATTCAGATTAGCTTATGCTTTCTAGACACTCGTTCATGAAGGCAGAGGGGGCAGGGCTAAGGGGAATTTCTAAGGTTGCTGGGAAAGGGTCAGAGGAAAGAGTCGGGAAGGCTAATGGAGTCAAGGTCCTTTGATGAGCAAAGTTGTTCCAGCTTCCGGGCCCTGGCACTTGCTGTTCCTTCTGCCTGATGTGCTCCCCTCCATGCTTTTTGAGAAGTGGGCTCCTCCTTTTCCTCCGGATCTCAGCTCAAATGCTACCTCCCCAAAGAATGTGACCATCCCAGCTACAGTGGCTTCTTCCCTCTTGATCTCACTCTATTTATTTCCTTTAGAACACTGACCTCAATCTGTAATTATTTTTGTCTCTCCTTGTTTATTGCATCCCCTCTCCCTCAGACTGTTATCTTCAGGAGGGCAGGGATCATGTCTCTTATTCACCCATATCTCCATCCTGAAACACAGTAAGAATTCAACACGTGTTTGGGAGGTGGATGAAGGTTCCAGGTGCTGTTGTGTCGTGGCCAGTGGGGCGCTCCGTACTAGGTCTGAAAAGTCAAAGGCTGGTTTGGGACTCCCCAGTCTGAGTCCCGTAGGCTGGGCCTCCTTTCCAAGTCGACTCCGGCACAAATCAGGCTCTGCACGATCGGCACGCTCAGGTGTGCCGCACGGATGCCCTTTAATGCGGGCTCTCTCCTACTATCTCTGGGTACAATGGACGGGTTCAGGAAGGGAAACCGAGGCCCTGACGTGCCCCCAATCCCGCTCTGAACTCACAGAGTCTGAAGAGGCGCAGGGGCCCGTACCCTGCTCAGGGCAGCGGCGGCGATGCCGGACCCCGCGGCGCACCTGCCCTTCTTCTACGGCAGCATCTCGCGCGCCGAGGCCGAGGAGCACCTGAAGCTGGCGGGCATGGCCGACGGGCTCTTCCTGCTGCGCCACTGCCTGCGCTCTCTGGGCGGCTATGTGCTCTCGCTCGTGCACGACGTGCGCTTCCACCACTTCCCCATCGAGCGCCAGCTCAACGGCACCTACGCTATTGCGGGCGGAAAAGCGCACTGCGGCCCCGCTGAGCTCTGCGAGTTCTATTCGCGCGACCCAGACGGGCTGCCCTGCAACCTGCGCAAGCCGTGCAACCGGCCGTCGGGGCTCGAGCCGCAGCCCGGGGTCTTCGACAGCCTACGCGATGCCATGGTGCGCGACTACGTGCGCCAGACTTGGAAACTAGAGGTGAGAGCGCGGGGCCGAAGGGGCGGGTCTTGGGAGGGCGTGGCCGGAGGGGCGGGCCTTGGGAAGGCGGGGCCGGGAAGGGCGGGCCCTTGGGGCCGAGGGAGCAATGGAACTGGGGGAGAGTGGTGGTCTTCGCCAGCCTGTATTATGCTGTGCTGCGCCCGTTTTAGATGCTGGAGGGTTGGGGCCTGACTGGGGGCGGGCCTGGGAGGAGGCCTCGGAGGCAGGGGCCTGAGCGATGCTATGGTGCTTGTCAGAGGCAGATGGCAAAGTGGAGGTCGGGGTAGGTGGAGGTCACGCTGAGTTCAGAGGAGGCGAGGCTTGGGCTGGGAGAGGGGCCTGAGAGGGTGGTGGGGGCGGTGCTCTGGGGTAGGTTGGCCGGCAGGGGCGGTGGGTTGTGGTCTTCGACAACATGCAGTGCACCGTGGGGCGCGATTACCAGTGTCAGATCTTCAAGCTGGAGATGAGCTTGGGGCCGGCTAGAAGGCGGGGCCTGGGCCGTGGCCCTGGATGGGCGAGGCCTGGATGGCTTGGGGCGGGACCATAGAGATGAGGGGGCTTGGCTTTCATTAACAGCCTAAATGACTCACCCCCTAGGTGCGCCTGGGTGGGTGGGCTGTCTCATGTGGAAGAGGCAATTGGGAGGGTCCAGGAGATGGAAGAGGTGTCCTGTGGCCGCCTACTTGGAGACACAAGTCTTCTCCACCCTCCCGTTCTTCCCTAGGGCGAGGCCCTGGAGCAGGCCATCATCAGCCAGGCCCCTCAGGTGGAGAAGCTCATTGCCACGACGGCTCACGAGCGGATGCCCTGGTACCACAAAAGCCTGACGCGCGAGGAGGCGGAGCGCAAACTCTACTCAGGCTCACAGACGGACGGCAAGTTCCTGTATGTGGGGCTTAGAGCCTGGGGCTGTGGGGTGGTGAGGCTGGGGCAGACCTCAGTGTGCAGGTGGGCGGTGAGGGGTGTGCCTGCGCTCACAAGTGTGAGTGGGTAGTGCTTTTCTGAATGTGCGCAGGGACGTGATATGCGAAAGGGGCAGCAGTGGTGAGGACTTCAGAGTTGGGCGGCTTGGGTTGGAATCCAGCGTCTGCTACTTACCATCTGGGAACGCTGGGCAGCTATCGGAGCTGCCTACTTGGATTTCCTCTCCTGCATTCACCAAATATTTGTTGAACAGTTACCACATGCACTGTTCCGGGCATTGAGGACGTGGCAGTGCACAGGACAGACACAAATCCCCGTCCTTGTGGAGCAGGTAGACAAAGAAGGATGAATCACTAAAACATAGAGTATGTCAGATGGTGGCAAGTGCTGTATGTGGAGCTTGGGAGGGGGGCTCCAAGTTGAGCTTAGGTGGCCAGAAAAGGCCTCTCCGATCGGGTGGCTTCTGCGTAAAGAACCGAAGGAGGTGAGAAGTGGGCTGTGAGCTCTCTGGGAGAAGGTGTTCCTGGCAAGAACACAGACCAGGAGGAGGTTCTTGGCATGTTCCAGAATCAGCAAGGAGGCCAGTGTGCTTGGAGCTTAGTAAGTGAGGACTGGAGTGGGAGGGGGAGAAGGCAGGGAGGTGACTTTGGCTTTGACCCTGAGTGAGGTAGGAGCGCTGGGAGAGCGTTGAAGCAACTTCCTCTAACCGCACAGTGGATGATGGTAGTACCTACCCAGGGGTCTCTTATGGGATCGCAGGAATTAATATGTGTAAAGCAATAGTATAGTATCTGGCATACACTAAAAATGCACTAAGGGTTATTTTAAGTGGGTGAATGTGCGTATCTCTGCCTGAGCATGAGCCACAGCTGAACCATGTGGCTGTTCGTGAGTTTGTTATTATGAAAGAGTCTGTCTAAAGCCCCCTGCTGGGGCTGCTGCTTTCTGGTCTGAACATGGGTTCGTTTTATAGCAGATGTTATCCGGATGTCAGCTGAGGCCACTCAGGCCTTGAGATATGGAGAAACTTGGTGCCTGTCTCTTTCCTGTGACCTCAGGAAGTCTAGCATCCTCCCCTTGAGATGTTAATTCTCAAGGGTCTCTGTTCTCATGGTTGCTTCTTGGCCTGAGATCCTGCCTGGCTGAATCCTTGCTCTCACCCACCTCCCTGCTGGGCTGTTCCCTCTCCTGGGGCCATCCCACTTGGAGGAACTGACCCCTTTCCCTTGATTTCCCCCACCCATGTGAGGTTTGAGCATGTGTACCAGATTACCTGCAGGTCTCCCACAAGATGCAGGTCCCTCTACAAGACTCTACTGTCAGTTGATAAAATAATTTTTTTTTCACCCTGCCTAACAGATTTAGGCTGTAAATTTAGGCTGTAATTGCATGTTACAGATAATACTCAGCTGCAAGGACGGCTTGTGAACAAAATAAGATAGGTCTGTTTTCTCTAAGAGGGAAACTCAACTTTGCATTTGTATCAGTTAGCTTTTGCTGTGTAACAAGCTGTTCCAAGACTTACTGACTCAAAACAACAGTTTATTACTTCTCATGGTTCTGTGAATCAGCTGAGTAGTCCTTCTGCTTTAGGTCAGCTGGGCTGGGACTGAATAGGTTGGGATGACCATGGCTCTGGCTATTGGCTCAGTGTCACCTGGGCGATAGGGATGAGTAGGCTGCAGTGCTGTCATCATCGAGCAGGCTAGCCTGGACTTGTTCACATGGTGGTGGTTGCAGGGTTCCCAAGAACAGTCAGAGAAGGCAAGTTACAATACACAAGCACTTTTCAAGCCTCTGCTTGTGTAATGTAACTGATGTCCTCTTGGCCAAAGCAAGCCACTTGGCTCAGACCAGAGTCACTGTGGGGAAGGGACTACCCAAAGGAGAATAACTGAGGCAGCCAGTTTTGCAAACAGTCTATCAGAGGATTAGAACAAGGAGGCCATAATGAGGGTGATGGGCGTCTCAAACGTGGGCATTTGGGGCATCTTTCCTTTTGGACTATGAACTGGAAGGCAGAGCCTGCATCTGGTCCTTCTAGAGGGCTCCACCTTCTAGTACCTAGTGATGGCCGGTACTTGTCCAGATGTTTGTCACCTGCTTCATCAGGATGCTACACACTCCCCCCCTCAAGCGTGATGCTCACTAAGACCTTCTCGGCCATTGGTCACACATCTCCCCACGTTCACATCTCACTTGCTCTTGCACAAGTTACCCCAGGTACCTGAGTGTCCAGGGGCTCTCTCCAAGCCGGACACAACGAAGGGGGGTTCTCCACCTTTCCTGTTGGTGCAGCCAATTCTTTCTCCTTGTAGCTGCTTTCTCCTTTGTAACATGTAATTTCATTTTGCTTTCTTTTTACAATCTAGGTTCCCTTCTCTGGTTTCATCTCATGTCCCCAGTTCAGCCTTTCATCACCTCACAGTCTTTGCCTCTCTTTTGTCTTGGTTTTTCTTTCTTTTTCTTTCCTCCCCACCCCTCCCTTCCCCATCTCTCCTTCCTACCTCACACAAACACACGTACTCATAGAGATAATGATTCCACCATTCCAATGGTTTAAAACTTTCTCCCAGATTTCCTAAGGCCCCCGACAATATCAAAAGATTCTGGGGGGAGGGGGTGGAAGAAGTGAGTAGAGGGTGGAGCAGGGGGGGATTCTGAGCCCCATCCCAACTCAGCTTCTTTTTTAAAAATTAATTAATTAATTTTTGGCTGTGCTGGGTCTTCATTGCTGCATGCGGGCTTTCTCTAGTTGTGGTGAGCAGGGGCTACTCTTCCTTGTGTTGCACAGGCTTCTCATTGTGGTGGCTTCTCTGGTTGTGGAGCATGGGCTCTAGGTGCGTGGGCTTCAGTAGTTGTGGCACGCGGGCTCCAGTAGTTGTGGCTTGGGGGCTCTATAGCGCAGGCTCAGTAGTTGTGGAGCACGGGCTTAGTTGCTCTGCGGCATGTGCGATCTTCCTGGACCAGGGCTCGAACCTGTGTCCCCTGCATTGGCAGGAGGATTCTTAATCACTGCGCCACCAGGGAAGTCCCCCCAGCTCAGCTTTGACGTGTTTCATATCTTAAGTTTCTATGGAAGATGTTGCTTGACAAACAATTCCACTGCCCAAAGGAAAAGTTTGCAAACTTTCTCCATTAACACAGCAGAGTTTATAACAGGCTTGGAGTTAACCAGTCTGTTGGGATAAGAGGAATCTCTGGAGAACCAGGGCCAGCGGCTGTAGGTGCTTTGGATATCGAGGTGGCTTGAAGTCTCAGAGGTGGGTAGGACCAGCATTGGCCACAGCAGGCTGAGACTGAGGGAGCTAGGATCTGGGTACAGTATAGAGACTGGGGCTGATGCTGGGGTTCAGAAGCAGTTGGAGCAGTGACATTATGAGGGACAGTGGCTCATGCAGGGAAATGTCAAGAGACCAGAAGCCACCACCATGAACCAGACTCCTGGAAAATTAGGCAGGGCATGCTTCTGACAGAAGCACTGTAGATTTTTCTTATGGTTCCTGTTGTCAATAACCGCTTTCTCAGTATGTGGGTAGTTAGGGACTGAAGGTCAAAGCTGTAGGCGCAGAACCTCTCATGAGGCAGGGGTGAAGGAACATCCCTGATGCATCACGATGCCTGGGACAAGCCCAGGACTGGTCTGGTTCTGTGGTAAGGGTGTGGGTGTGATAGAAAGACACACCACTGTGGCCTGGAATGCTTACCAGTGACCACCGTTTAGAGCTGCTGCTGAATGGTTGGAATTATACCTAATGCTGTTTGCTGTCAAAGCTCGCTTCCTTTCTGCATAATTGCAGCATCTGTGGGACTGGTTGATTCAACTTGAAAAGACACTTGAACCCTGGAAAGGGCCTTCAAGAACATATTGTTAATTGTTTCTTAATGGATCACTGACCCCTTTGGGAATTTTAGTGAAGCTGAACCCTTCTCACAATCCCCAAAACATATTTACCCCAAAGATTATGCCTACAGTTATATGAGATCATGGTTGATCCTGAACCTCATCTTTGGAGCCCTAAAGTCTGGGTTAGTTCTGTTTTTTCATTTTACATGTGAGGAAACTGAGGCACACGGAGAAGAAGCAACTTGCTGTGGCTGGGCTGGGTGTCAGTCCCATGTAGCAATTAATTGGAGAGTCAAAAATGGATTGGCATCCTGGCTCTACCCCTAATCAACTGTGCAGTTTAGGCAAGAGGTGTAGTGTTCTTGAGCCTCAGCTTCCTCCTCTGCAAAATGTGGATAATAATAGGACAAGGTAGGTATCTTGTGGAGAGTGCTGTGAAGATTAAATGACAAATATGTGAAGAATTTAGAACGAGCATCTTAATAAATGGTAGCTCTTATTTTTTTCACTGTTGTCAGGCTCTATATATTATTTTTAAAGTGGAGGGAATTCCCTGGCAGTCCAGTGGTTAGGACTGCATGCTTCCATTGCAGGGGTCACAGGTTTAATCCCTGGTTGGGGAATTAAGATCCCACAAGTCTCATGGCATAGCCAAAAAAAAAAAAAAAAAAGTGGAGATACAAGTTGATTTCTTAGCCTGTACCTCTAGTTTAAGTTCAGGCTTGAACTACAAGGATGAAGAACTGCCACTACCTGGTGTTTTTTTTGGTAAATAAAGTAGAATTTGTGACACTGAAATATATATGGTGACCACACCAGTATAGTAGTAGTCTTTGCCTACGTGGGATTGGTGGCTGCTCTTTTGTGAACTCACATGTCTCTTTCCAAAGACAGTGTGTCAGTTAGCCTTTGCTGTGTAACAAACCACCCTAAACTGTTGTAGCTTAAAATAACATTCATTTATTCAGCCTTGATTCAGTGGGTTGGCTATTTGGGCTTAGTTCAGCTGGGTGGTTATTCAGCTGGTTTCTTTTGAGCTCAGTTGTGTGGCCGCAGTCAGCTGAAGGATTGACTGGGCCTTGATGGTCTGGGATGGCCTCACTCACATGTCTGG